TAAATATGTATCTCCCAACTCTTTACCTTTAAAGGTAGAAGCCAGAGAGCAACAAAAACAGAAATCATTTTTCCCCCAGCAGATCTCCAAACCTTTCTAATTTTTGATCTTTTCACCTTGAAAAGTTTCTTTTATCCAGCTTTTCTTATCATTTACTAGCAGCACTACCTCTCACTAAAACCAGTTTAGACAGAAAGCAATAATCAGATTTTATTTATAAAGTGCTTTTCAAGCAAAGTGCAACTCAAAGTGCTTCACAAAATTAAAATGACCCCACATTCCCATAACTGTTTAAAAACATCAACAGACAGATGCGCACACACGCACACAACACACACACACCCACACACACCTGCACACAATCACATCACAAAAATTTTGATTCGGCTGAGTCCAGAGAAGCCAAGTAAGGTAAGGTAAGGAAACACCATCAAAGGAGCCATCTGCCTCGGCAGCATCAGGTCTTCCACAGCATTTAAGTCAGGGTGCTCAGAGGAGGGAGAGCATAGACCCCCACCTCCACTCAAACACTACCTGTAGAGCACCCAGGAAGCAACAGTCGGCCTCCGCCCCTGGGGCAGAGAGTTCCTACAGGGAAAACACTGGATTAAAATGAGTAAAAATATGAAAATAAAAGAGCTAATATAAATGACAAAAGTAAGAAAATAAATAATAAATAAAATCATATGGACAGTAAAATTACAATAGTATTAAATAATGAAACTGTGCTAAAATATAGTCATATAAAACATGCAAAGCAAGCAACAAAATATAATCATGAAAAACGAGAAATAAAACTGTAATAAATAATTAGATTAAAGCTAACCTAAATAGGTGGGTCTTGAGCCTGGACTTAAATACATGAATGTTCTCTGCGGCCCTGAGGTCCTCCGGCAGCTCGTTGCAGAGGTGAGGGCCGTAATACTGGAAGGACGCCTCAAGTTTTACAATAAAGCCATTTTGACAAAAAAAAAAAAAAAAAAAAAAGAAAAACATCCAGTGGGACTTTTCTCTTTCCTTGTTTGCGTATGACCATAAATGACAAGTCTAATTGGCTGACTGAGCTGTCAATTGATTTTTGGTGAGTAATGCTTTATTCTAGTAGCTCTAAGAATCCAAAAGAGGTGTCAATCATCTGAATTGACCAATCAGTCATGGAAATTGAAGGCTGCGTAGTGTAGCATCTGGAATAGCTCCAGCCTATGCCAGCAGTGTCTTTTTATGCATGAGGCACAGCAGTTCAAAAAAATGTTAACTTCCTGTTTTGAATGGAAATACAATAAAATAGGTTGAGTTGACAATAGTGTCTGTGACTATTTGATTCTCTGCCTCATTAGATTGAGTATGGGGCAAAATTTCTTGACAGATTAAAATGTGATTAATCAAGATTAATTAATCACAACACCTCTAATTAATTAGATTAACTGTTTTAATCACCCCTAGTTTAAACTAAAATCTATTCTAAATAACCAGCTGGTGATGTTTTTTAAGAGTTATGATATTTTTGTTAAATGAGCTACCAGACAAATGAGGCGTTGCTGAATCTTAACCTGCCACATATATGTGTAATGAATATATCACGCATAACAGAAGATGCGACTTTACTAAGACATCAGTTTTACTGGGAAGTAATGGTGAGCTGGACTACACTGCTTAGAAAATTAATATTTTTTAAATGATTCTGATTTTTTTTCAGTCATTCTTAACCTCTGAAGGCAGGCATTGCAGATTTGCAACATTAAAACCTGCCTACCTGGTTACTCCACATACGTATTTCATGAGCATTTTTAACTCAGAAGTACCCCTGAAGGACTTAGTTGTTCGTCCTTTTAACAAAACTTATTTTGAGCCTGAGAGGGTTAAGGTTCATAACCTGCTGCATAAGTGAAGCAACATTTGCTTTGCCAAGCAGCATTATGGACGTAGAATTTTTATTCAGAACAACTGTGATTGTGGGATTTTATTCCATCGAGTATTTTTAAACTTTCTGGGAATTTACAGTTTGGACCCTTTCCCCTAAAACTCTTTTCGTTTTTTCCACTGATCAGTTTCCAAACTCAGTTTTTGTTCAAACCTCATGCTTTCTATGCAGATGTTTTTATTGCATTGTCAAAAATCTAAGTACAAACAGGATTTTTGTCATACAAAAGATCAAAAAATTGTCAGCATCCACCCACGTCTAAAGATAACAGGAACCAAACAAGGATTCTGCACGTGCTCCACTTTCTAGATCTACCAAAGATAATGTGCCATGTATTTTTGTACTCCTGTGTAAACACAGCTTTACACCGGCCCCAGGTGTGCAGTTGCAACACGTCTCTTTGCCCAGGTGTCCCCTTGCAACACATCAGTCCATCATTTATATTAATTTGGAAGTGGATCCTGTCATTACTGTCAGAATCTGTGTGAATCTAAATCTGCTGGGGTTTGTTGAAACAATAGCATCATGTAATTTCTCCTCAGAGGAGAGCAGGCGAATACAAACGCAACTTGAAACCTGAATGATATGTTGATAACAAACAATGTGGGATGAGGTTTATAAGTTATTCAATACTTCCAGAATTGAATAAAAAGTAAATAAAACATTTCTACAGTTTTTATAAAACAGATATTGTTACACATATTTAATGTTATGACACAAATGCAGCATCACTTATTCCAAATACTTGCTTTGATTTCCTTCCATTGTTTTTAATTTAAAAAAGCTACTTCCATAACATTTTACAGCTCTCTTATTGCCACACTAATAGAAATGTTCTGAGTATTCAGCTTGTTTTCTGTTACATTTGTTCATCCTCATGCAAGTGTGTAAAACTTTCCAGTGATTCACTTCTTAAACATTTTTATTTTCACTCTCTTGTGTGTGCATAATGTTGCAGTCTACTTTATACATCCCAATTTTTGCTTTATTTATAGAGCATGACTAGAAAACCCACATTTGTGATGCACTTTCCTGTTTTTATGCATCTTGCAGATTTTTTCTAAATGCTGAAGATGCCCCAACTCAGTTGTTTGATGGTTAATAGTTGAGGAAAAGTGGTTCAATTAAGGAAAACAGTTTTTGAGTCCCTTGCAAAGCTCAGAATAGTTTCAAAATGCATATTATTAGCCAAAGATGGAAGTGACAGAATAAATGCTAAAGGTAGAAATTTGTAAAAGCTAAAGAAAAGTTGGCTAAACATTTTCATCTACATATAAATCATTCAAACTCAACTATCTCAGTATGTCTTGTGACTTTTAATGTCCAGTCTTACAATTTTAACAAAACAGGTTTTGTGCACCTTACGCTAAATGTACACCACATTAACGCACAAATGCACTGGTGCTACCTTAGGGAAAGCTGTAACTCAACTTCAAAGGGAAACCTGAGAGGGTCATGAATAATCACAGACATCTTTGTCTGCAGGGGATAACAGCACTGTCCATCTGCCCTCCATACACATATGAATACTCGTTCATATGGCCTAAGCAGTTTTTAGCTCTGGCGCTGGGGACACGTCTCAGTTTGAGGGTATATATAACTGGATCCTTTCCCATTCTGCTCAAAGTTACAAAAACCATCATTGTTGTAGTTAGGACGTTTGCATGAACGATTTTCATGTTTATTTGTTGAATTAAAAAAGAGCAACAAGTAAACAGTCACCAAGGCACCATCGCAGACACCCCAGATGACTGGGTTAACAGGCTAAACCACAGCAGTAACAGATACAAATTTGCACATTTCAAGATGGTTCAGTTGTGAATCGAAATTAATCTGGATTCACAGAATTATCTTTAAAGTCCAAACTGGACTCTTCAACAGACAGATGTGATCAGATTACTGGAGCTTTTGTCTTTTTCCACTTCTTCTGGAACGACGGAGAGGTGATGAAAAACAATCTGCTCCCATCTGGACTACAGCAACAGCCAAACTCATAAACCATTTTTCAAAAAGTGTTGTTTAAACCAACCAAAGAGCTTTATTCTCTTTACAGCTCTGACCCAAGTTTAACGTTCATTGCTTTTTTCTTTCATTTCTGATTTAATCAAACACAGACAGCCACAAATACAGTTATTTCAGTTCATAAAATCTAATGAGATGAACGATTTTTTGTTGATGTGTTTATGCTTTGGTTAGTTTTTAGGCCATTATTCAAAAATGAACCAAATTTACACATTTCTCCCCCAAAATTTCTGATGAAATTAGCACATCAGGAGTGAGACTGCTGGATGTACATGTCATTGTTGAGCGTTCGGTGTGTAATGTTGGTTTATGAGTGTAAATGTTTGTTCCATGACATTCCTCTCTTCTCAAAGCCGAAAGGAATTCTTTGAATCTTGTAGGAGTGGCAGCCATAAGGTCTGCGTTTAGCACACGAGCTTGCTTAGATGCAAAAAAAAAAAAAAAAAAAAAAAAAAAAACACCCAGCAAATATTTAGGTGAATGTATCTGAAGCATACAAGTGTAAGCACCTGGCCCCACCCACAGATAACCTCACTAACTTCATGTTGGACACTGGAGCTCATCAGAATCTACAAGTCTTTTGAGGGTTGTGTAACATGAGTGGGTAGAGAGACAGATAGAAAAAGAGGTAGGGGGGTGGACAGAGAGACAAGGTAACCTGATGTCCCAGGACTTTACTGAGCAGTAAATGGGTTTCCATTGAAGTTTGCGGAACCCCATTTTATCCCAATCTCTTCTATTCTCACTTATCCCTGCCCATTAAGCTCTTCTGGGTATCGTCTTTCCCTAATGATCCCAGGAATATGATTATGTCTGTGTCAGCACATGGGTTCACAGCTATTAAACAATGTGTTGTAAAACTTTGTTATATCACCTGCTGTGTGTTGAAGTCAGCTAAGGGTTTCTCTGGCTGCTGCTGAGCTCAGAATCAATCTGGAGGCTCCAGTTTGACTTAATGAGAGGTAAGGAATGCGTCTAAGATAAACCCAAGTTCTCTGTTTTTCACACACTCCACATGTCTAGACTTTAACTTCAGCTGTAACAAAATAAAACTCACCTCCCAGTAATGCTCCCTCTTTTTTCTGCCCAACTTCAATGAAACAGCCAGATATTCCACCTCACTTTCTCCAAGGTTCGTTGTAGATTTATCCCAAACTCAAAATCCTTCTCTTGCTTTGGAAAGCGTTGCATCCAGGTCCTGGACCATCCACTTCTCTGTCTGTCTCCCTCCTATGGTCTTTGGTGAAATGGGTTGTTCTGAAAGTTTAGTGAAAGGAGCTCCAAAGCGGTTCGTCCTCTGGCAGGTCCTAGTGCTCACCTTTTCCACTCGCTGTTCACTATACATGCTCTGATCATTTACTTCCCACGTCAGAATTCAAGATGGGGAATGACATCACACCCAACATAACCATTTGTCAGTTGCAAGTCAGATAATCGGTAGAATTTGTTAATGATTCTGCTCATGGACTCAGGTAAGACAAGGGTAATTAACAGCTTATGTCTTGATGCATTGGAAAACTGCTATTTTTATTATCATAGTTCATGAATGAGGCAGCCTTACTGCTATCATCACAATGTTTGAAATGGAAAATCCAAAATTGGGGGGTATTTCTGTTAAATTAACCCCAACTTCAAACCCAGCCATAAAAAAATAAGCACCTTTATACGTTGCTCCAAGGGCTGAGTGGCAACATGGTGATACCAAATTCAAGCATATCTAAATATAGAAACATGGATTCTGCTGCAAAGCTTTTCCAATTGTGCCCAACTTTGTCCACAACACGGTGAATAAGTTGAGTGTTTTTGTTGTTGTGTTTGTATATAAAAATTTGCTTTCTGTTGGACTTCTTATTTTATTCCTTAAGATGATTAAATAACTCCCAATCTTTTAAACAGCATAATGCCACGATACATTAAACACTTCTTGGGTGAAAGTGTACAACCTTGTGTTTTTCTTTATGCAATACAAGCCCTACCTCAGACACACACACACACGTTTGCAAGCCAATTTGGTCCACCCTTCCCACCTGGCGGGCTCAACACAAGGGATAACCATATGAAATCATACATATTTCTGTGCAAGTGAAATGGTAATGCAGATAATTTGAAATGTACCAGATTTTTCAAATTTGCCCTGAAAAAATTAAATGCATCTAATTATCAAATCAAAAATCTATTATAACACTCATCTGCTCATAAGTGACTTACTTGGATGCATTTAAATTACATACAATTATATTTGTGAATTAGGAATGCATTTCTGGTCCAAACAATCTTTATTGTTCTTGTCAAGCCTTTTTTCATCAGAAGTGACACCTATTGTTTAAGAGGAGAAGTGCAGCAAATGTAGCAATGATTTAAATCAACATTTAGCGAATGTACAGATGTAGCATGTTTAATAGCAGTGAAAAATAACTGTGTGCTGGTTTGCCAGTTTAATAAAATAAGTGATAAACTTTATCAGAAGTTCTTCAAAGGTCATGCAATAATAGTTGAACATGGAAGTCTATCCTAAGTAGGTGGTATTATGAGGTTTGAAGAATAAGTAAGTTTATGTGATTCAGTATTAGCTACTTCCAATCCTGAGGTCAATTAGAGATTTCTCTGGACAGGAAATTAGCTGATAATGTGCCTAGACACATCTGATAAACCCCTAACATGGTTTTAAAAGCCAGCTTAGTAAAACGTTTAACTATCGTTTGTCAGAAAATCACAACAATGTCAAATTTTACTGATGATTTTGTGAAAATACTCGTGCTTCATCAGTTTTAAAGACAGGAAAATGTATACAGTTAAAAGAGATTTATGCATACACAAGAATGGACTTTTGATGGTCTGCTGCAGCCTGGAATTCAGCAACGTGGCTTGTCAGTAGCAAACAAGAAGAAAAAGGAGGAAACAGAGAAAGTAGAAAAAGTTTGCTCAACTCTACTACTGTGATATCCCTTCAACCTGGTGGCTGCCAGCCACACCCTGCATTCAGCAGAGCCTTCAGCCTCTGGTAGCAACAGTCCCTTTCTGACAGTTCCCATCCTTTTTTGTTTATGTATCGTTATTATTATGTCTTGCTCTTGCCTTCGCACTGTTTTTCTGGTTTTGTGTGTTTCTCTCTTTCCCTCTGACCTGAACCGTATCATTTGTCAGAGCCCCTGGCGCTGAGAACACATTCATACCACCCAAGCTCTATGACAGACAGACACAAACATAAAGAAAAAGCTAAGGAATGATTTTCGGTGTTGCTGCTCTTTCTTATTATTTTTAATCGGTAAAATTTGTTTAATTTTATTTGAAACAAAGTTTGATTTAAGTGTTTTTTAGAAACCATCGTAGCTTGTCAATAAGCCAAAGAGCAGGTGAAAACCTGAGATGGATCTCTCTGTTTGAGTTTTGACCCCCAGGGTTGATTTCAACTCAAGTGAACAGAGTCCCTAAAAGATCGTTTTGAGTCTTTGTGTGTTATCTGCCAGTGTGTATATGCTTGTATGTATGTATATGTGTGCACGCAGCTTGTGGTAATGTCAAAACTGCCTTGAACCTTGTTATCCGCTCTCTGAAAGGGGAAACCCCAGACAGCAACTACAGCCCTGCACCCCACTCCAGGATCGGTCAAGGGGTGAAAACTAATGAAGAGGGGTGAGCACTTTGACTGGAAGGGTGGATGGAAGGGCAAGCGTGCACTGATGTCGTCATTTCTTAGGCATTTCGGATGAATTTGACATTGTTTTATGCTTCAATTTGTGTGCAGCTTTTTCAAAAAGGCATTTCTTGAATAAAACTGGCAGTATGTCATGCTGCAAAGTGTTATTTCAAACAATTGCCATATATATATATATATATATATATATATATATATATATATATATATATATATATATATATATATATATACACAGGTCCTAAAAAATGTTCATATTGTGATAAAGTTCATTATTGTCTGTAATGTACTGATAAACATTAGACTTTCATATATATTAGATTCATTACACACAACTGAAGTAGTTCAAGCCTTTTATTGTCATGCTGTGGGTAAGAGCTTTCACCCAGGACATGAAGAATCACGACAGAGTAAAAAATATAAATGTTTTATTTCTTAAAACAGAAATAAGGGAACAAAACTAGAACTAAAGGCGCTGCGTCTGAAACACAGGAACGGGACGGGACCGGAATCTATAAAAGATAAGAGGAGAGGTAAGCGAGACCGGAACCAGAGAACCAGGACAATCTGACTGAGTGACTGAGAGTTCTTACGGTCAGAGACCAGAAGTTGTGCGGAGGCGGACTGGGAGAGGCTGGAGTGGTGAGGATGGTGCTGAGCGTGGACAGGCAGGCGGGCGAAGAGATCGGAGACCTGAGGATCCTTGAGCGGTGAGACGGGAAACAACTCCAGACCAGGTAGGTGGTTCAGAACAGGAAACTGGAACAGGACAAACAAACTCATTAGCTCAGAACGCAGGACCAGGACAGTTTAGGAGGCTAGAAGCTACCCATATGAGAGTATCGACCGGCGCTGGAGTTGAGTCCCATCGCTCCTTAAATCCTGGTGGCTCCGATTAGTGGAAACTCCATGCAGCTGTGATGAGTACCACGCCCACCTGTAAACACAGCGCTGACCAAAACTCACAGCAGATGGAGGCAGACCGTGACAGTGCCCCCCCTCAATGGACGCCACCCGGCGGCCCAGCAGAGGAGGAGGAGGCGGAGGAGGAGGAACCACGGGAGGCCTCGAAATCCCTGATCAGGGAGACGTCCTCAATCCACGAACCAGGAATCCACTGTCGATGTTCGGGGCCGTACCCCTCCCAATCCACCAGGTACTGCCGGCCGCGACCCCGCGGTCGAACATCCAGGATCCGGTGCACCCGGTAGCAGAGACCCCCGTCAGCGAGACGAACGGGTGGAGGAGGAGCGACAGGAGGACACAAGGGGCTGGAAGCCACCGGCTTGAGGAGAGAGACGTGGAAAACAGGGTGCACCTTCATGGAAGGAGGCAGGTCCAACCGGACAGAGACAGGACCCAGGACTTCAGCTACAGGAAAAGGCCCCAGGAAGCGAGGAGAGAACTTCCTGTTGCAATCGCGAAGCTTGATGTCCCGGGAGGAGAGCCAGACCATCTGACCCTGAGTGTAAGCGGGCGCCGGACGTCTGTGACGATCTGCAATCCGGCGGTTGCAATCAGCAGTTCGTTGGAGCACCGCCCGTGTCAGGGTCCAAGTGCGATGGGCCCGGCGCAGAAACTGGGGAACCGATGTGGAGGAAGCAGAGTCGGAGGGAAACAGAGGGGGTTGATATCCTAATGACACTTCAAACGGGGACTGACCTGTGGATGATGATGTGTGGGAATTATGTGCATATTCCACCCATGCAAGCTGTGAGCTCCATCCGGCAGGATTGGAAGCGCAGATACAACGAAGCATGGCCTCCAGTTCCTGATTCATACGTTCCACTTGACCGTTTGTTTGCGGGTGGAAGCCAGATGTGAGGCAAACCTTAGCCCCCAGGTGAGTGGCGAAGTCGGACCACACACGGGAGACGAACTGGGGGCCACGGTCAGATAGTATCTCGCTGGGAAGTCCATGAAGGCGGAAATATGCTTAATGAGGAGGTTGGCTGTCTCAGTGGATGAGGGAAGTGATTTAAGTGGAACCAGATGACATGCTTTAGAAAAACGGTCATCAATGGTGAGAATGACAGAGAAACCTTTAGACATGGGGAGACCAGTTACAAAGTCCAGAGCTATGTGAGACCATGGGCGATGAGGAATAGGCAAAGGCTGGATGAGACCTTGAGGAGGCTGATTACTGGCCTTGAATCTGGCACATACCTGACAGGCTGCGATGTACTCTTTCACATCTCGGTACAGGGAAGGCCACCAGAATGTCCTTCTGATTAAACTGATGGTTCTCCCAAGGCCTGGATGAATAGAGAACCTAGCGGTGTGGGCCCAATGTATAAGGGCACCATGGGTGTTAGTGGGAACATAGATCTTATTAGGCGGACCGGTACCTGGATCGGGTTCCTGCTGCTGAGCCTCCAGGACCTTGTTGGTAATGTCCCAGGATATGGAACCAATGATACAGGAGGCAGGCAAGATGGTGGTGGGTTCCGTCTCTCTGTCGGAGGCAAACTGTCGGGAGAGTGCATCAGGTTTGACATTCTTAGAACCGGGTCTGTAAGAGATGATGAAGTTAAATCTGGAGAAAAACAAAGACCATCGTGATTGGCGGGGATTCAGTCTCTTGGCCTCCTTCAGGTA